CAAGTCGAGTGCCGTAACCACCTGGCCATGCCGGGCCTTCACTTTATTTAAACAATCTCTTAGCCAGTAGCAACAAAATTACAAATATTTTTAAAAACTTCTGTTTATAATACAGTACAATTGAACATAAAAATGTATTTTGAACCATTTTTTTTTCGACTAACACATCCTGTTTAAAAGAGAGATTTGATCATTGTTTTATGAGAAAAACAGGAAACTCTGACTTTATGGTTACATTTGAATCTTCCTTTAAGAAAAGTGCTAATGACTGTAGTTGACACTTTTGTCAAACGAAGATATATCACACTGAGTAGCTTCAGTTAACACTTTCTGACTAAAGTAATAATACACTTGGAATTTGCTGAATCAGTATTTTCATCTCTCACTTACTTTCGAAAGAAACGGGACATGATTCAATGATTATATCTGGAACTTGCCTTTGAAACGGTAAATAAAATCGTAATTATATTAAACACTTCTTCCTTATTTCACGTATTTTGTTAGCAAAAGTCAGAAGACACCATTAAATCAATTCTAGTTAGTTTAAACAAAAATATCCAATTTTAAGAATGAGTGAAAATATATTTTTGAAACTTATGACATCTAGATATTATTCAATCATTTTTAAAATTGGTGTTTTCTTTGATAGAGAGAAACTATTTTTAGAATAGAATTAAAGGTCAGCTTTAATAAGTTGAAGAAAGCGACATCTAGTTTTATGGTTGTATCTGACACTTCTCTAACAAAAAAAAAGAATTTGATTTAATGATTTGCTGGCATTTTCTAGAAAAGAGTCAAATCTAGTTTTCTGTTTAGATCTGAAACTCGTTAAAAGAAATTGATAGATTTAAAATGTTTACAATTGCATCTGACTCTTCCTGTAGGAAAAGAATAGTAATGGACTTTAACGGTTCCATCTGATTCGAGCTTTTTAAAATTAACATTTCCTATTGAAGGAAAGGAAACTTGATTCATTGATTACACCAAGCAGTTGATTTCCAAGGATCTAATTCAATCAGTATACTTGATTCTTACTTTTAGAAGTGATAGATCTGGTTCAGATTTTATCGAGATTTTTCAGTGTTCGAACAATATTACCATTGGTTGTTCTTTCAAGAGTAGATTCTCTAAATGTTAAATAAATAAATCCTACCGAACATCTATTAGTTTTGTGATTAATCCATATATGAAAGTACAAATTGAAGTAGAAAACAGTGTTACTGTAGCAAAGTTTGTCTACATATACAGATTAGGACACGTCGTAATATCAAACTTAACGATATAATTGTATTTCATTACTCAAGATCTCATCCAAATGATATGTTGAAGCGAAACTGGCTATTTTTAATTCTTTTAAACTTCTTTGCTCTCCAAAAATAAGAAAAAACTGAATTTCCACCCATCAACATCTGATACGTTTTCTAAGAATCCTTCTTCACAAGATATATTTAGTTATATGAGATAAAAAATTGAGTAATTAATATTTCTATTATAAAACATTAGAGTCTTTTTACCATATGTTACTATTAGTTTTTGATCTGTTATTTAGTTCATTTATCCAGTGTAGTTGTAAACAGATAATAATAGCGAAAAGAGACTAAAATATTGGCGTTTATAATACTGTTTAAGCTATGCTACAATATCTTAGATTTGGTGTACATTATATGCATTAGCGATAAGACTAATTTTTTATTGTAATAAAACATATTATTTTGCACATACATCTCACGTGATTTAAGTTTTGTTCACGCTCTAAACTCTTTTATCCGAAACGAAAATGATTTAAGGTTTTATTTACAGGTACCCCAGCTGATGAGGCTGTTTTTAATCCCTCTATAAGTTTGTTTTCCTGCTTGACGTCGTAACTCTGGGGTAGAACAAGATTTATCTGAAGGTTAGTCACCAGTGCGTTGACCCTGACTCAGAGAATGTGTGTTTGTTGGACAGATTACACGTTTTCAGCTTTTTATTTTATTAGGACACTCTCCACTTGATATCTACCGTGAAATTAGTTACGTTAATACATTAATTGAGTAGATGACAAACGCCATCAGTTAGACATGTGAAACTCTCACATGTTTGACTAGAAATATCACACGTTGTCCACAAGAAATCAAAATATAAGGTCACATGTATATTTTTTTTCTCTGTTTCATTTAGAATGATTGATATATGTAA